TTGTTGAATATTGTTGATGGTGATAATGATTACCTCATACAGACTTTTTGAATTCTGTTTTTTAAACATCTTATTTAAAAGTTTTTAAGTTATAAACAATATAATGATAATACATAGAGTTCCTATAGCCACCCCCCCCATACACACACATGCCCATTTTCCTTTATTAGTAACATCTTATATTAAATATGGTACATTTGTCATGATTTATTAATAAATATTGATGCATTATTATTAACTGAAAAAAAAAAGTGAGAGCAGGCATCCTTATGGTGTTCCTGATCTCTAGAGAAAAAATAGTCTTTCTTCATCAAGTATGTTGTATGAAGATAGACATGGGGTTTTTTTTTTTTTTTGCAATTACTTTATTATATTGAGGAAGTTCCCTTCTGCTTTGTATTTCATTGATATTTTTAACCTCTAATCTTCATTACTTCCTTCTGCTATGTCGCATTTAGATTTTTCTTCATATCCTTGCCATTGTACATGTTGTCAGCTCCCAGTAAAAAAACCACATCCCCCTGCAAATATTTGATTAAAAAATAGAGGCAGTTGATATAATTATTTTAACATTCTCATCCTTAACAAACCTATCATGTACACTGTTTATTATAAGTGATTTTTTTTTTACTTCATATTATTGCTGTACTTCCAATTTTGAGTCACCTGTTTCTAATATTGCCTCTGACTTGTAGGTTAAATATTTTTCCTAGAGAAAGTAAAAACCTTCATTGGCATCAGGTACTCTATGCCCCATATCTTTCCATGAACATCCATAATATAAAGAAGAGTCTACACTCGTCACCCCCAACTGTTCATCCCATGTTCCCTCTTAGCCTTTTGCAATATAGTTTTTGCTCCTGTCTCACCAGACACTGCAGTTTTTGTCAAAGTGAGAAGTCACTTTCTCAACCTTTCTTTTCTCACATAAAACCTTCAATCGTGTTTCACTGATGGAACTTGCCAACATATGGTCTTGGCCTTCAGCTCTTCCTACAGGCTATTTTACTCCAGATCCTCAAAGTGAAGCACTCCAGTGCCTGAAGACAGAACTCAAAGATTCACAGACTGAAATCCAAGCAACCAAAGTTCCAAATCTTGTGAGTGAACCTAGCTCTGCTTTCTTATTCTCTGAATAACTGCTATCTCTTGTGTTCTGGGCACTTACAGATGGCCCCCAGCTTATGATGGTTTGACAGTTTTTCAACTTTCTCATGGTGTGAAAGAGATATGCATTCAGTAGAAATTGTACTTCAGATTTTGAATTTTGATCTTTTTCTGGGCTAGCAATATTCAGCTTGAGATCTGTGGTTCCCATACAGTCATGTGATCACAAGAGTAAACAACCCGTTTCTTACTTTCATTGCAATGTTCAATAAATTGCATGAGATATTCAACACTTGATTATAAAATTGGTTTTGTGTTAGATGATTTTTTCCCCATATGTGTTCTGAGCACATTTAAGATAGGCTAAACTATGCTGTGATTTTTGGTAGGTTAGGTGTATTAAGTGCATTTGGACTTACTATATTTTCAACTTAGAATGCATTTAGAGACATAACTCCATTGTAAGGTGAGGAAGAACTGTATTTAGTGTTCTTAAGTCTCTGTAACAGTTTCAAACTTACAGATAAATCAAAATTTACTGAGACTATATACTAATTGTACTTCGTCACTAGGTCTCTAAAAAAATGAAGGTTTAATTTACATATTGAAGTATACAAATCATAAGGTTGAAGCTCAATGAATTTTCAAAGTAGCACAGCCATAATCACTGCCCAAATCAAACTTCAAAATATAATCAGTATGCTTTGGTCCTTTCTTCCTCTTGCCTGTTTTTGCGCTTTACATAAGTGGAATCATACAGTATTCTTTTGCTCACTCACATTGGAATGGCTTATTCACTTTCATCAATTCTGTTACATGAATCTGCCAAAATTTATTCTTTCTAGTATATTCTGTTACATGAATCTACCAAAATGTATTCTTTCTAGTGTAGATGGGTATTTGGTTACTTTCATAAAATTTCTATTTTGAATAACACTACCATGAACACTCTTATATACCTTTTAGTGCATTTCTGTTGAACATATACTTAGGAGTAAACTTTTTAAGTCACAGAATGTGCATATGTTTATAAAATGAGCAGACATGTGGGTGCCATGGAGAAACAGCTCATGTGTTAAAGAACTATAGTCCTCATTGCTTTATCTGGTTTGAGTTTAAGTACCCTGGATTCAGTAAGAAAGCTAGCAAGTGTTAGAGTATTATTCAAATTATAACCCCCCCCCCAACCAGAGTCAAATCAGGAAGCTGTGGAGATAACAGAGTGACAAAACTGATTCATCTTAGCAGATTCTGCTAAATCCTAAAAGCCTTACAATTCTGTTTTAAAGCTAGCACAGCACCAGAAAATACTACCCAAGGCTTACAAAATGTAGGAAACTTAATATAGGGTCTCTGCATAAAGCTAAATCCCAAATAATTATACTTCCAAAATAAAACTAAATCAGAAATAAACTTTCCTGTCCAGATGGGAATGGCAAAGGAGCTAGTCTTGATCTTCCCTTTTCCGAGTGGGTCTTGACCCAATAATTATTACCACAAACCAGTCTGTGGCTAACTGAAGCTGCTTGTTGTTGTGCCAGCCTCACAAGGTCCTTGGGCTGGCATCCATCAGGATGACTTGCTTCCCCATTCCATACTAGCAAAGGAGGTAAGGTGGTTTTCTTTTTGTGACATTTCCTGTGCCCTACCACCAGGAAGGGATTTGAAGTTGACACTCCCCTGCCTGTTACTAAGGGAATCCTTGTTAGTTTCTTTTCTTCTTTTAACTAATATCTAACATGCTTGAATTCAGTGTGTTGCCATGTCTAATGTGAGGTCAAGCTTTTAGAGTAAGTATATTTTCAAGGATTAATTTGAAATGGCTCCCTAAAAAGTCATCAATTTATAAGAAGATAAAATTATATCCCTACCTTATAACCAAGTTTTAAAAATTAACACCGGATGGTTAAAAGATTTAAATGTTGGGCCTTCCCTGGTGGCGAAGCGGTTGAGCGCTGGGCTCCGAAGCTGCCTGCAGCCTCTGCAGCGCCAGTTTGATCCCCAGCTGCTGGGCAAGGGTCCCACATGGCGCACAGACCTCTCCTGCCGCCTGCTGCTCCCCTCAGCAGTGTACTTCCATCATTCTGCCTGTTCTGTTCCCCGCTCTGGCTCTGGTGAATTCTCTCACCCTCAGTCACCCTTCTGACTGTACCCAGTGCTTGTATCAATAAATAAATTAAAAAAAAGATTTAAATGTTATGATATCAATTTCAACACTGTTAGTAGAACAATCGTGATTCCTGGTTAATAAAGTTGCCAATTCAAACCACACTGTTAATCTGCTATGAGCAGGGACAGGTGCCCTTGAGATTAAGTATATATCTTTGGACCTCAGGGCAGGGAAGGAATTTACTATATAAAGACTTACATGTTTGAATATATTATAATTATTTGTTCATAAAAAGGCACCTTACAAAAAGTGAAAAGACAATTTAAAGATATTCACAATACACTTGGATAAAGGATTAGGAAGAGACTGAGGGAGAATTTTCACATATTACTTTATATCCTTGATATATTTTTATAATGTACATGTACTTTTTTTTTTTTTTTTTTAATAGAGGCATGTTTTATTTATTTATTTATTTGTTTGTTCATTTGTTTTTTGTTTATACATGCACTGGGTACCGTCAGAAGCGCGGGAGGGTGAGAGAATTCACCAGAGCCAGAGCGGGGAGCAGAACAGGCAGAAGGACCGAAGTACACTGCTGAGGGGAGCAGCGGGTGGCAGGAGAGGTCTGCGCACCATGTGGGACCCTCCTCCGGTGGCCGGGGAGCAGCCGGGAATCGAACCGGCGCCGCAGAGGCTGCGGGCAGCTTCGCAACCCAGCGCTCTACCGCTGCGCCACCGGGGAGGCCCAATGTACATGTACTATTATGCTAATTTTTTAAAATTAGAAAATAAAAATATCCACTAAGTTTAAAATTAAAGTCGCTTCTCAAAGAGATTATCTGTGAGGATGAAGGAATTCAATATGGTAATACCACACCCTTATATGAATGATCAATTTTTTCCATTTAAAAGATTTAAAACATTACAACTAGTTGTAAAAACAAAATGATTTGTACTGCAGATGGTATCTATTTTAAAACAATGTAAAATTTTTTGTAGAAATGCAGTAGAAAAAAGTGTAAGAATATATATAGCATAATACATTGTCCTGTTTCAGGACAATGATTTCCCCTGGAGGGAAGGAAAAAATGCATTAGTGATAGCTACCTTCGTTCGAGAAGAAAGAAGTGAGGCAAACTTAGGGCAGTGTTAAATGAGGTGGAGGGGGTGTTTAAATCATGACATCCATGTACCTTTTTAAATTAGTGAAATCTTTCATGTTAAAATTTTAAAATAAAAGTAACAACATTGGGAAGAGATGTACTTCACAATAGTTGTTTAAGGATATTGTAAATAAACAGGACTTCTCTATATGTGCTAGCTTTTCTATTAAGACCACCTTTGATGTTTATATTTGACATACTTGCTTGATTGATTTTGAAATAACTAGTCAAACGATAACAAGCAGAAGAAAGAAAATACAAATTCAATGAGGCTGCCCCGGGCCTCATCAGTTTACCTCCCACGGTAACAGAAACCTAAGCAATGAAATTGATTCCTGGTTAACAAGGCCGCCAATTCAAACTACACTGTTAATCCGCTACAAGCAGAGGCAGGTGCCCTTGAGGTTAAATAATACCTTACTCAACAGAGATGACCATGGGTAGCCACTGAGACCTGGCTAAAGCTCAAATAAATATTCAAGTTCAAGGTCTTAGAGGAAGTCCTGGTGATTTACGCGGTTAACAAGTGCCCTGGCACCACCAGGTCTGGGTGCCTAGTGTCAACCACCCTGAGGGTGTACCAGGGGCACGAGGCCAAGGAAGGGGTGGGGCTTACCGGAAACCGTAAAAGGGATGCGGGCTTCTGGTGAGAACCGCTAGCACGGAGACTGGAGCATGGTGGACCAGGCAGATGCTGCTGAGGACCGGGGAGATGAGTGGATTCCTAACCAGTCCCTGGACAGGCTGTTGAGGTTACCACTCCCACCCCCACGGATTTGCATGCGTCCATGGTGGTTTCCAGCGCAGGAGCTGAGAAACCCATTGGTGTTTTACCTGGAGGCTTGGCTGGCTGATGTAATCTTTGGTGAGTCACCCACGGTGTGCTTGGGGGTCAGACTCTTCCTTTCAGAGAGAAGCCTGGCACAGCAATTTTTGAGTCTTTCTCTGCATCACAGGCCACATTTGACGCCATGATGCTGAGCTTCCAGCTCCTACCCTCCCCGGGCCAACATACCTCGTGATCGCCAAGCATGCCCTGAGAGTCTCTTTTATTGTCTAGGCGCCGACCGAGCCAGAATTCCGGAAATAGAGTGGATGAGCCAAGCCCTCCTGTTGGTGGACATAGTTGACTCGGGAAAATCAGTCGAAATCACTGTCTTCGGACGGCCTCGTATGCAATGTCAGGTGAAGAGAATGCTTCTGAACGTGGCATCGTGGCACCGGAAACATCGTGCCCGGGGTAAGACTCTGAAGATCTGCATGTGTTGCTGTCACAGCTGTAAACTCTCTGCTGGAACCTGGCTTCTTTCTGGCCTTTCTTCCCAAAACGTTTTTGCAGATTCCAACCACAGTATGTAGCTTGCAGCCCCTGAGCATTCCTTTGCGAGAAAAATCCAAGTAGGACCCTGGGAAAGTAAGTGGAGAACTGATGCGACCCATTCAAGGCCCATCACTGCCCATGCCATCATCAGCTTGGTTAGGCCACTATTTCCAGATCCCAGATTCAAATCTCCACCCTGAGAAATGAGGGTGCCAGCACTTCCCCTCCTTAGTGGTAGACCAGTTTGAATTTGTGAGCACTTGTCCTTATGGGTGGTTGTTATCAATTGCTTTTCCTCCAGCTGAGAAAATGAAGCAACTTGAAGAGTTCTTGAAAGCTGCAACAACATGCCCCCAGACTCCCCTACATCCTGTTACATGAATATTGTCAGGAGCATTATGAAAATGGTCCTGCTTCTACCTTCTGAAGTTCAAGAGGAGCAAGTCTCCTTAAATCTCTGAATTCTTTTTTCTGTGCTTTGATGGTTTATTTTGATGTAAAGATGATTTTGTAATGCCATTCTACAACTGAAATGAATTTCCTTTTTTGTCCAGTGGTATAAAGATCTTTACTCATTTAAAATAAAGCAAATTTATGAAAGACTGACTCTTAGTCATTTATGTCTTGATGTGTAGGGTGGGTAGAAGACTGATAGGTAGTGGTTTTATTTTTATTGTTTTAGTTTCTACCATTTTGAAACTACTCACCTTTTTATGATTTTCAATTACCCTTAAGCACAGAGCAGAGATGCAGGGTCAGTTTGCTTTGGTTTCATTGCACCATTTGTTCTCAAGCTTTGAAGTATCTAAGCATCACCTTGAAAATTTGCTAAAACACAGTTTCCTAAACAACTTCTTGGGTGATTCAGTGTTCTGGGTTTATGAATTTGCCTTTTTTAAAATTTAATTTTATTCATTTATTTTTTTTTTTATAGACAGGCTTATTAGGAAAAGGAAAAAAGAAAAAGAGGCACCTGTATGGTCATAGGCGGGCAAGAGAGCTGCCGTGACTGCTTTGCAAATGGGAAGGGTTTGTGAAGAGAGACACCTGCATAGTCACAGGTGGGCAGGACAATGGCTTGAATTTGCTTTATTAAGTACATACATCATGCCAATGCTTCCCCTGAGGTTCTTACTTTGAAGCTAGTGGTTTGGCCCCAGTAGAGCTTGGTGTGCGGAGTGGAGCCTTCCTCCTCACACCTGGGCATGTGATCCAAAACACAAGTGATCAATATTCATTCATTCTTCCAGTGCTGCAGTTTACAGAAGATCTGATCTTGGGCATTGTAGCAGGCAAAGGACTCCTGCAATCAGAAATGCTTTATCCCTGAGGTTTGCACGGGTGTCCTGCAGGGACTGAGTTGTGTAAGGTTACCAAGAGCTTGGTGGCTTCAGACATGAAATAGGATGATTGGAGCGTAAGTAATTTACCAAAGTCACAGAACTAGGAAGTGGGGGCAGGGTAGGTGAGATTTGAACCAAACATTGACTCCATGACCCAAACTCTTACCTCTACGCTATTTTTTCCCACATTTCTCATTGTTTTCATTTCTTTTTAAGAGGAATTAAAATAAACCTCTTATTTGTGAAGAATCCATTCTATCACAGGATAAAATACATTTTTTTCCTAACAGTTTGCTGAAATACTGATGTTTGAAATAACCACATCTAAAAAACAGCATTGATTTTTCTCATGATAAATATACATGCTCAATGTTTTTTTAAAAAATTAGGCAATATTGGGGCCTCTCTGGGGTGCAGGGATTAAAGCCTCAGTGCTATAAAGCTATTGCCAGCCACTGGCATGAGTTCGTTCCGCAGCCAGGGAGCTGACCCACATTGCACAGCAGACCTCTCCTGTCTCGCCCACTGCTCCCCTCAGCAGTGTATTTCAGAAGACCGATCTCTTCTGCTCCCCACTCTGGTGAATCCTCTCAGCCCCCTGTACCTCTGGCCTACACCCCAACTCTTGTATGCATAAATAAAATAAATCTTTAAAAAAAATTAGACAATATAGGAAAGATTAATCTCACTATCTGTAATTTATCTTCAACTATCTTTATTACTCCAAATAGTTTTCTACTTTAGTAAACATTTTATTGATGCATAGCATTCATATAAAAATAAGCACATTTAAAGCTTGAAGAGATTCATCGAAAAACATGGAGAACACATCCATTTAGCCAAAACTCAGAAAAGGAACGTTACTAGCACTCCAGAAGCCCCCTTTTGAGTCCCTGAAGGATGACTACTATTCTGACTTCCATATAAATGGAATTATTGTGATATTTATCCACGTTGCAAGTAGTTATGGTCCCATTCTACGAGTAAGTCATAATTTTTTTTTGATTGTGCACATTTTGCTTTACCTGTTTGGAACTATACTACTACTACTACAAAAATTCTTGCACGTGATTTTTGGTGCATAGATATATATACACACATGCATTTCTTTTGAGTATCTAGGATTAGAATTGCTAGGTTATAGGGTGTGCATAAATTTAAGTTGCCATGGTGATTAATTTACATTCCTTCCTACTCTGAGATTTGAATTGTTCAGTATCTTTGATGTGGTGAACTCTGTTGATTGGTTTTGGATGTTGAACCAACCTTTTGTCCCTGGAATAAATCTCCCTTGGTCATGATATATGATACTTTTAATGCATTGTTGAATTTGGTTTGCTATATTTTACTGAGGGTTTTTGCATCTATGTTCATAGGGAAATTTTCCTAATTTTTTTTGTGTGGTCATTGTTTGGTTTTGGTATCAGGGTAATGTTGGCCTCATGAAATGTGCTTGGAAGTATTACATTTTTCTCATTTCTTTGAAAGGAATTTGAGAAGGATGGATATTATTTCATCCCTGAAGTTTTGGTAGAACTCACTTGTGAAACTGTCTGGTCCTGGACTTTTTTTTTTTTTTTTTTTGGTGGGAGAGAATTTTGACTACTGATTCAATTTCCTTGCTTGTAATTGGTCTGTTCAGATATTCTATTTCTTCCCTATTCAGTGTCATCTGGTTGTATATTTCTATGAAATTCATCCATTTCTTCTAGGTTATTCAACTTACTACCAAGCAGTTGTTTATGAGAATCTCTTATGACCCTCTGAATTGCAGACATCTTTGTAGCATCTCAACTTTGATTTCTGGTTGTATTTGTTTGAGTTTATCACCTTTTTTCTTTATGAGCCTACTTGAGGCTTTTCTATCTTTTTTTTTAAAGAACAGGCTTTTCGTTTCATTAATCTTTTGAACTATCATTTTTATTTCTATTTCATTTAGTTCTGCTAATTTTTATTATTTCCTTCTACTGTATTTGATTTCATTTGTTCATCTTTTTCTATTCCCTTAAGGTGAGAGATAAGGTTATTTATTTTAGCTCTTATTTCTTGATGTGGGGGCTGTATTGCTAAATACTTCCCTTTTAGTATTGTTTATGTCAAGCTCTATAAACTCTGGAAGGGTGTGTCCTCATTATCATTTGTCTCGAGGCATTTTTAAATTTATTCTTTGATTTCCTCACTAAACTAATAGTAATTCAGTAGTATGTTGTTCAATCTCCACATGTTAGGGGTTTTCCTGCTTTCTTTTTGTGATTGATTTCTAGCTTGATACCACTGTGTCAGAAAAGATACTTGGTGTGATTTCAGAATTCATAAATGTGTTGACCCACGATGTGGTCAATCCTGAAAACTGTCTTATGTGAACTTAAGAAGAATGTGTATTCAGCTTTTTGGGGGATCTAGTGCCCTATAAATAACCATTAAGGTCATGTGGTCTTATTCTTTAAGGCTATCTATGCATTAGTGAAAGTGGGGTATTGATGTTCCAAACCACTGTTGTGTTTTTCCCAATCAATATTGGTTTTCAGATTTTATGCAAACACATCAAAAAGGATGAAATACCTGGGAATAAGCTTAATGAAGGTGAAGGAAGCAAAGGACCTATACTTTGAAAACTATAACATTGTGTTAAGAAAATAAAAGAAGATACAAAGTAATGGATGGATATTCTGTGCTCATAGATTAGAGGAACAAACATAAAATAACCATATTACTTAAATCAGCTAATTCAAAACAATACCTATCAAAGTCTCAATGACTTTTTTCTTTTTTTAATAATTTTTATTTTTATTTATTTTATTTATTTATACAAGCATTGGGTACAGTCAGAAGCGCGGGAGGGTGAGAGAATTTACCAGAGCCAGAGCGGGGAGCAGAGCAGGCAGAAGGACCCAAGTACACTGCTCAGGGGAGCAGCGGGCGGCAGGAGAGGTCTGCAAGCCATGTGGGACCCTCCTCCAGTGGCCAGGGAGCAACCTGGGATAGAACCAGCACTGCAGAGGCTGCGGGCAGCTTCGCAACACAGCGCTCAACCGCTGCGCCACTGGGGAGGCCCTCAATGACTTTTTTCAAGGAAGTAGAACAATGATGAAATTTATATGGAAATACAAAAGATGCTGAACATAAAGCAGTTTTGAGTGAAGACAGAGATATCACACACCCTGATGTCAAGCTATACTACACAGCAACAGTAATCAAAATAGTATGGTATTGGAACAAAAAACAGAAACACAGACCAGTGGAATAGAATGGAAATCCCAGAGATAACCCACACAAATATGGATCTTTAATCTTTGACAATGGAGCCACAGCCATACAAAGAAGAAAAGAAAGGCTTTAACAAATGGTATAGGGAAATATGGACAGCCTTGTGCAAAAAAATGAAACTAGATCCATACTGATGCCCATACACACAAAAAAAAATTCAAAATGGGATAAAGATTTAGATATATGAACTGAGACCATAAATTATTTAGAAGAAAACCTAAGGATACAATACAGGATATCTATAGCAAAGATGCATTTGGGGACACAACGCCAAAAGCAAAGAAAACAAAAGGAAAAATAAACAAGTAGGACTACATCAAACTAAAAAGATTTTGTACCTCAAAGGAAACCATCACAATAAACAAAAAGGAACTGACAGATTGGGAGAAGATATTTGTATATCGCATACATCTGACAAGATACAAGTTTCCAATATATATTTATAAAGTACTCATAATCCAACAACAGAATGGGAACCTAATCAATAAGTGGGCAAAAGACATTTAAATAGATAATTTTCTAAAGATTACATTCACAGCACATGAAAAATTGTCTAACATCACTTTTATAAGGGAAATGCAAATCAAAATCACAATGAGATATCACCCCATCTTCATTAGAATGGCCTATATCAAAAAGAATGGAAGCAATAAATGTTGGTGAGGATGTAGAGAAAAAGGA